AGAGTTATCACCGATATCCACTTGAAGCCACTGATTGAAGTTATTGCTCATGGCTGACCATCCCCCTCTCTTGTTCCCGTCTGCTTTCGAATTTAACCTTGCCTCCTTTGCGCCGTGATCCTCATCCATTTGTGAGGATACCTTTAGGTTGGCATCAGATATTTCTTTATTCTCCACACCAAGTACTGCTGCACATCCTGTGTTTGAAAAAATATATATTGTTTCAAAAAATAATAATTTGGATCGTTTCATATAGCAACACATTTGAGTAACCTTCCAACAATAAGATTCTGCTTAGTTGGTTTAACTGCTTGGATTGCTTCATTTCATCACGTAAGGGACCATTCTGTAAAATTAATGGCGTTTTTTTGTCAAATAACCTATTTATAAAATGATTAGTTCTAATTGTTTCTTTAAAGCACCTGGGCAGCCATAGATCTCTATCCTCATTGAGATATGATTGTGCCACTCCACCGGTATAAGCCGTATAAACCTTGTTGTGATTGGTGGGCTCAAACTGCTGTGAACCACTGCCTCGCTGTTTTGATTTCCAGTGAAAACCTTCAAGACAATCACAAGGAAAACTGTCATTATCTTGCATGCGAAAAATTTCTATCTCATGTTTAAACTAGATGACAAATGTCACAAAAAAGGAGTGTTCTTGATATGAATTCTAATCAGTCTGATTGTGGAGCTGAGTTTATCTCATCCATTTTTGTCACAGTAAGGAAAACAAGCACAATATTCGTTTCCCTAAGGTGCACTTTTTTCAAGGCTTAGCTACTAACGTCATCAGGAAGACCACCTTTTTTAAGTTGCAGATGATCAGTCTTAAAATGATTTAACATACCCTCGCTACGCTGGCATTTGATGGTTTGTACACCTGGAAGCTCTGGCCATCCTCACCGTACTCCACCCTATACTTGGTCACCCACTGATCGTGCCCATTCCTTCCTTGAGTGGCTAAACGTGTCACACGCGTGTAAGTACCAAGATCTACTTGAAGCCATTGGTTAGCATCATTTGCGAGAGATGACCAACCTCCCCCAAAGCCACCGTCCGCTTTATAATTCAACCTGGCCTGACTTGCAAGGCTTTTGTCATCCAAAATCGAGGATGTAGTTATCTTTGAGTCAGCGATATGTCCGCTTTCCATGCCAAGAGGTGTGATGCAGTCTACAAGATGCAAATCAAGAACCAGGAAGAAAATGTACTTTCCTTTGAGGGAATGGTCAGATTTAATTTGAATAGCTACCGATAAAAAAACACTGACACTGGTCGAATTTAATTTTTTTTCAACCTAGAAGACAAGTATTGCTATGGCCTTTTTCACAATCAGGTAAAAACAAAAATTAGCTCGTGGATGGAAACGATCATGCGGTTGACTTGATTCATCTAAACCTGCATCTTTTTTATTGAGTAACTGAACTAAGATGAAGACCCTTACCACAAGCCACTTCTAAGATTTTTGTAAACACGTTTTTCAAAATGTCCGTAGTCATGTCATTGAAGAAGATACTTTTCAACTATGAAAGACAGAAGTCGTTCGAAATGATTGAATCTACCTGGGCATCCGTAAATCTCAATTCTCATTGATATGTGTTTATGCCACTCTATCGGCAATAATCGGACGAAACGTGCTCTGATCGGCTCGCTAAGTCTTCTGACTACAACTGTGGAACTGTCTTCATTTCCATCGAAAACCTTCAAAAGCAAGTTTTAATAAACAACGTAATTGACATTCAGTTTGCTTCATTCTCTCGCAATTTCCCAAAAACTTACTTATCCGCCCAACCACCTATCAAGCCACTTGCCCTCCCCCAAACAGTCATTTACAGCACACAATTGCCAAAACTGGGCTAAACGTTTTCTCATTTACATCCATAGGCATCATATTGATCATACCATCACGGTGTACGATAAACATTAATTACTGTCAGGTTATCCTGACTTCATAGTTAGAATACAGCGCTAAGGGCATACCTGTGCAGAACTGTGTTCTGCATTCTTGTAAAATCGGAAATTTATCCCAGAATAGCTAAATTGTATTCTGTATTTTGTCACCCACTCGTCGAGGCCATCTATCCCCTGTGTTGCTACACGCGTCACAATTGCTTCACTTCCAAGGCCCACCTGTAACCATTGATAAAGATCGTTCTTGCGAGCAGACCACCCCCTATTTTTACCATCAGTGGCCGCTTGAATGTGCAACCTGGCCTGCGATGGAGCCCGATCATCATTCAGTTGTGAGGAGGCATATATTTGCGCATCAGAGATTGATTTACTTTCCATGCCGAGGGGGGATATACATCCTGGGTAAGTCGAAAGAAACACGCAGATGTTAGTATCTTTTAATCCGTACAATTAAGTGTTGACATTTGGAATCGCTTTTAACTTATTCATTTATGCCATACCTCCCACATAGCCCTTCAAATTTAAAGCTGAGGCCATACCTTTGGAAGGTAATTAATTTTCTAAGGAAACTTTCGCACAGCGAGGAGTTCCAAGTTAAATACTTAGTTAAGAAACAACGTGAGTTGTGAAAGGAAACTTAATCACCTCAACAAACTTTGAAAAGCTAGATGGTTAAATTATCCCAATCAACGTTACGATGATTGCAGGTCACGATATTCCGGGCAATTTTCCACGCCAGGGGCTGGTTTTCCATCCTTAAGCAGGTAATTAATACCGCTTTCGTGATTTGCAGTTGCAGATGTGTTTTTTGATTGTACAGATACGTGTAAGACAAATGAAAACAAATACATAACCTTATAATAATAAACATGATAATGATGATTTTAATAACTATAGCGGTAGAGATAATAATGGTGATCAGACTGATGATAATAACTTAAAAATTAAGTTTTAATGGCAATAAAATATGACAGTGATAAGAATAAAGGTAATAAAGATTAGAAACAATGAAAAATATGAGGAGAAATGAGAAATTACCTGGACAGCCATAGATCTCAAGCCTCATGGATATGTGGTTGTGCCATCTCACCGGTCTAATTCGTATGTAGCGTGCTCTGATTGGTTTGCGTATTTCGTGATAAATGACGGTCTCTCTGTCACTATTACCACGAAAGACCTATGTAAAATTATGAAGACAAGTGGAAAGTGAGCTTT